AACCCTGTGATAACAAGGGTTATGTCTTATTCATCTCTGTACACACTATAGTTCATGACGTAGACTAGATCTCAATGGCAAAATGGTGTCTGATAAAGGTGGGCTTCAGAGTTGCAAAACAATTTTTATTTTTGTCTTTCAGGCACTTCAAAAATGTCTTACTCCCAGTGGAAATCAGTTCTCCATAAGTTTATCACAATGAATTAATATTTTCCATTTGGAGAATCTTATTGTTTTTTCTGTGCCCTTTGTGTTGACTATGACAGTCATTATCTTTTTTTTATTTTTCCTCCTAGGCTGTAAGGAAAATTATGAAATTGCTTTCCCTGGTATCATTAGAATGACATTTGAGTATATCAGTCATGAGTCTAGCTTGTCTATGGATTCTATAGCAGATAAAAAAGTGAAAGAAGGGCCTCTTTGAGCTAGTTTAGTTTTACTGCTTGACAACGATAATCTTACAGTAGCACATTTTTATAGACTCCCCTAACTTGACTAATCTAATTTTCTTTGTATTTGTTTGGACACAGACTTAGAAAATTAGATTCTCCAGAATTAGAGAAGTTCTTCAAAAGAACTTCTACTTGAAGCCCAAAGATATGAGATGGCTACAAGCAAAGATGCGATGTAGATTAGAAATTAATAAAATATGGTCTGTCCTAAAGCCTACCTTTCAGTCTGGGGGCATAAGACCAAGACTATACAGATGTCTTTGGGATAAAAAAAAACAGATGTCTTTGGGGTAGACAAAAATCTCTCTCTCTTTGGGCAGCACATTTTAATGAGATAAGTTGTAGTCAAGTGCCTTTCAATTTTTAGTTGCACATAAATCACTTTAGGATTTGTTAAAATGCAAATTCTGATTCAGAAGGTTTGGGATGGGGCATGAGATTTGGCACTCCTAACAGATTTTCAGATGTTGCCGACACTGCTGGTCTATAGACTGTATTCTCAGTGGCAGGGTACTAGCAGACAACTTATTATTTGGATAGAACCAATCGTTTACTTTGTGTTGCAATTTTGTCCTTAGCAAATATAGATTACATGACCCTTTGCTATTGAGGAATAGGTATTAGAGAAACAGGAGAAGTTAATGAATATTCCAAAAGAGACTCACATGTATTAGCAACAGTGCTGGTGGCTTTACATATCATGTTTTATAGACTTTCTAAATAGCACTTTGAGACCCTTATTTGGATGACAGATTTGAATATGCAGAAACAAGCCTTTTGCAATAACTCTGTGTGGTATGATTCCTGAGTGGGCAGGAAGGTAAGCAATAAAATATGTCATTACCCGTTATTAAAGGAAATTATTATGGATTGTAATTATAATTCTTTAGCAGAAGGTCTAGGCAGGTTGAATGGCTTTTCCAAGGTCATACTGTTTGTTAACTGCATTCCAAAAACCAAAATCTATGTCCTTGATGCCCTAATCCTACCAATATTATGCTCCTCCTTGGGAGTGGATTTTTAACCAAGTTCAGAGAGACATCACTATAAATTTTGATGTCTTGGCCATGCAAATTACAGTCCTTTAGGAGGCAGAGTGGTATGTAATGTGTGTGTATGTGTGTGTGTGTGTGCATGTGTGTGTGTAAGAGGAGTGTGTACGTATGAATGTGTACATACATCAGGACCTGAAGACATTGGATCCTATGGTGTTCCAGGAATATTTAGGAAGACTAGTGAAAAGAAAAGTAAAATGACATAGAATGAGGTTACGATGGACAAAATCAATGATGTGGCAGTTGACAGTGGAAATAAAACAGAAGTATTGAATTCAAAAGGAATAAAAAACATAAAAATACTGGGACTTGGTTACTGATTGGACAGGAGACGTGATAGAAAGGTGCATATGTAAAATGATTTCAAGTTTTTATCCACTATATACTGTTTCTCTCTCTCTCTCTCATTGGAATAGGCATAGAAGTAATTAAAGTCACAGGCTTGATGATCAAACCAGACTTGGATTTAAATCTTGACTTCACATTTTAACTGCATGACTTTGGCATGTGACTTATTCTCTTTAAACCTCTCACAGAGTTTAAAAGGAATGTATAAGATAATCTGTCTAAAATATTAAGAACAGTTCTTGATCCTGTATAGACAGGATGCAGAATCTGGGCTTATGGGAGAATGATGGTGGTGTTAGCTGCATTAGGCGTTCAAGGGTTTTGATGCTGGGTTTGAAGCATGTGGAAGACAAGCAAGATATAGAGGCTGCCTGGAACATGAATTGTTCCAGGCAGCCTCTGTATTCAAGGTGTACTGTGGTTTGTGTAGTTCGAGGTGTACTGTAGTTTGTGGAGAGTGTGTGAGGTTAAGAATAGGGCCACTAGGGTTAGATTTCCAACTCAACCAATACTGCAAGACAGTTGGGTTTGGAAAGAATGGTTAAAGGCCAAAGATGGGAAGTGTGAGAAATGCCAAGGGCATACCATGCCTTGTCTTCTTTTGCCTTGAGTTGGCTTCCATGCCTATGAAATTCTGACTACTGGGTAACAACAAGTTAAGGTACAGAAGCTAAAACAGGACTAAGGAAAGAGGCAATATATACAATGTAAGAACCAGGGCAACTGTACAAAGACCAAATGAGCAATGTAGAATTAGGAAGACTCAAATTCCAGGTAGACCAAGTCTGGGACACAGATTCCAAGAAAAGAGCAAGTAGAAAATCCAGAAGAGTAGAGGAAGTAGAGTAAAAATCATGGTCTAATTGCCAGACAAGCATCAAATCCAGGAAACCATCAAATCGAGAAACTCATAGAAACTAAGGACAATAAAAACTGATAGAGAAATAAATATGAAGTATCAGTAACTGATTCTGATAACTGAATGTACTTGACACCCAAGTAGAAGAGTCTCTCTTCTGATCTTCCCCTGAAGGGTGCTAATTCCAAGGCAGATGATCTGCATGAAAGGCTCCAGGCCTGCTCACCCAGAACATCTGCCTGCTAACAATACAGGGACCAGGCAGTCATGTTTTTCTGGTGGAGGGATTCTCCTACCATATCAAGCAATTCTGGTCAGATTTCTCTCTGCTTTTGTGTTTCTGCATGCTGACACCAAGCTTAGCCCCTAAAGTTTGTTGTTGGGTTTAAAGCCTTGCAGGCCCAGAATACTGGAGGTGTATTGATTTTCTGCCTCACAAAGGAGAAGAAGAAAAGGTGCAGGTGCAGGAGTAAGTACGGAAGGAAGGAGAAATGAAGCAGGAAGTCAGCTGGAGAAGAGACAGGAAGTCTGAACAACTTAGGATCATGGCCCAGATATCAGGCATCTCCCTTATTACAGGTGGCTGCAGAAGTCAGTAACTGTTTGGGCTTCTTTCTTGTACTGTGTTTATTGAAGGAATATTCCTCTCGTATGTATTCACAACTATGAGATTTCATACATAATTTGATGATAGCTGCTCGTTTTTTCCCCTTAAGGGAAATCAGAATTTCTTAAGTGGGAGATATTTCTCAGCCTGGGGAAGATACAAACTTTTCTCAATCTGCATTTTCCTAGTTGGCATATACATAAAAGACAATTGGGAAAATATCAATTCAAAAACATACTGCAGAGTGACATTCACTCAAGACTAAAAATTTATCAGGTGCTTTATAGAGCAGAGAGATAGATGTAGTCCCTTAAGGCTTAAGTTGTGAGCAACGGCACTGACTGAGGAGAACTAATTTACCATCATCTGAAAGGAAATGGGGTTAAGAAGAATAATTACAACAAAACACTAAAACAGAGAGAGTGTCACAGCTTTTTATTGAATTCTTATTTGGGATGTTTTTGCAAACTTATCAATCATTTTCTGACATTTTAAAGTGTAACAAGATTTTGGTGTTTGTGAAACATTTTGAAATTGCCCCAAACTAGATCTCTCTCTCTGTCAAATTGACATTGGGTACAAGTTTATGAATCTTGAGTGACTGATGTATTAACTATAATTCTTTTGATTTTAAGTTACAGAAATAAACTTGATTTAAAAAAAAAAGAGGAGGAGAATCTAGTGTAAAAAGAAAAAGTAGGGGGGAGGGGAGTCTTAGGGAACTCAGGACAAGAAATCCAGCAGGGCCCCAGGAATGTTTTGGGACTAGATTCTGGAAAACCCTCAAGTGTCTCTGCTCTCTGGGCTGCCTTTTCTGTGCACTTTGCTTTTTCCTTCTTGGTCTCAATAGATCTGTTCTTTAGGTCAGATTAAAGATTTCGTACAGCTGCCACATAGACATTATAATTTCAGTCTCTCAAAGTAATTGCAGAGCAGTTTAAATCTCTATTGCATATTCTTGGGAGACAGAATCTATTTGCTATCCACCATCTTAGGTCAGAAAGCCATCCTTGGTTCCATCATACATAATGTGAACATGGATTCTGAGGGCTCAGCTATATGGATTTTGGGTCATGGGGTAAAAGAAACTTACGGGCTTGTTGGATGTGCCAAAGCCTACCATGCCCAGAATGCTTCTAGCACAGAGGAGGCTCTCAATAAGTATTTATCAAGTGAAATATTTGTTGACTGAATGTACTGGCAAGGATAGAACATGTGTGACTAGATAAATAAAGACATTTTTGCATTTTGAATGCTCTGATAGTAGATCGTTGTGAATTGATTACTGTAACAGTTAACTTCAAACTAAAATTGCATTAGTAAAAATCATTTGATTTGTGGGGTGTTTTTATGTATTTGTAAAATCATTTTAAAATTTAAGAAATTGGGGCTGGCCCGGTGGCGCACTGGAGAGTGCACTGCTTGGGAGTGCAGCGGCGCTCCCGCCGAGGGTTCGGATCCCATGTGGAGACCGGTTCCCACTCACTGGCTGAGCGTGGTGCGGGCACGACACTGAGGATTGCGATCCCGTTACCGGTCAGTAAAAAAGACAAAAAGGAAAAAAAAATAAATTTAAGAAATTGAAAATTTTTTTGTGAGAACATTTGAATAACTTAACAATATACATATTTATTTATTATAATGATGTTTATTCCCTTATTTTTTTAAAAATATCTTTCATGATCACGAAGACTAAGCCTGGAGTAATTCGCCCAGTGCCAGTAAGATCGAAAATATTACTGAAAAAAGAAGAGGAAGTCTATGAACCCAACCCTTTCAGTAAATACCTGGAAGATAGCAGCAATCTCTTTTTTGAGCAGGTGAGTATACACATGAGAAAATATTTGCTATTTTGATAAATGATTATATAAAATATAGATGCCTCTATGAATACACTGTGTGCAACAAACTATTCATTTGATTGGATTATCCTTGTAATAAACAAAGATCATTTTTACATGATAAATGGAAATTCTTATATAATTCCAGGAGTCATCCTGGAATCATATAATCATATGATATTTTCCAGAGTTGTATCATCCTGAAAATATCATTTTGAAGCATTTTCATGTTTTGTTTCTGAAAATTTTCTACCTAGTTGCTAGTGTTGTTTTGGTAACAAAGACATTACTCTCTATAAAGACATCACGAAATCATTCATTGGATGGATCATATAGGTGTTATATCCTTTTATTTCTAAAATCATACTTCCTTTTGAAGAGATGCAATGTTTTACATTTATATTTTAGTTAAGAGTTAACAGAAGTCCTACTATACGGATTCATATTAACATAGTAGAGATGATGCAGTCCCCTGAATTGAGCAGTACTAATTACAGGACAGGGGTTCAAGTCATTTTATGGCTTTGCTGTTTATTTTGTTTATGTGTGAAAAATGTATACTGTTTTTTCCTTATGTATCCAATATATCAGAGAAGGTATAATGGAAAGTTATCAATGATGCTTTGTAAGATATTTGTGGAAAATATGAAAATACACATTTGTGCAATATAAAACTTTGTAAATAATATCAAAGAGAAACATGACATCTTTATTTGTCTTATTATAATACAACAAATAGGCACAGGCTGTATATTTTATATCTTAAACATTATTAAATGAACCAGTAATGTAAGACATACAGAAACCTTCCTGGATACTGTCAGGACATGTAAGATCATCACATTTTGTAATCTACAATGATTTTCTAAATCTTTACATTCTGCTTACCTATTAGATTTTGCCTTTATATCATGCCTTTGCTGCCATGACTCAATGTAGGTTGTTGCAAGTAGCCACACAGCTTCCTGGATGCTTTGCTGCTTAGAAATTTCTTCCACCAAATACTCTGTGTCAGCACCTTTAAGTTTCATGTTCCATAAAATTTTGGGCATGAACAGAATTCAGCCAGGTTCATTGCCAGTTCATAGCAAGGGGGACCTTTATCCTGGTTTCCAATAAGTCCTTTCTCATTTACATCTGTGATCTTCTCAGAATGGCCTTTACTGTCCATATTTCTGTCAGCATTGTGCTCCCCACCACTTAGCCAGTCTCTAAGAAGTTCCAAATCTTCCCTGGTTGTCTTGTCTTTTAAACTCCCACCTACAGCTAGGCTTTTTCTAGCCTGCTCCTTCAAATTCTTCCAGCCTTTATTCAACACCCAGTTCCAAAGCTGCTTCCACATTTTCAAGTATTTGTTGTAATAACACCCCACTCCTGTATTATTCCATTTCTGTTGCTTATAATAAAATACTTTAACTGGGTAATAAAATACTTGAACTGGGTAATTTATAAAGAAAATGAAATTTATGGCTTGTAGTTTCAGAGACTAGGAAGTCTAAAGTCCAGGGAACACATCTGGTGAAGGCTTTCTTTGGTGGTGACTTCAGTTACAGAAGGGTATCACATTATGAAAATGGTATAGCAGAGAGAGAAAGAGAGACTAACCTCCTTATTCACTCTCTTTTTAAAGCACTCCGAATCATGCCCCTGACCAACATTATTAATCCATTCAGGGCAGCATGGTTCTACAATCTAATCACTTCTCCACGGACCCACTGTTCAGTCATCACAATAGGATTTCCCACCCTCTCAGCGCTGTCAACACTGTCACAGTGGGGGTCAAGTTTCCAATACCTGGTACTTTGGGGGACACAATTTAAGCTTCAATGAATTTGAGGGGGGAAGGGCATTCAATGCACAGTGGGAATGTAAAGTGATATGCTCCTTTTAAATTTTAGTTTGAAAATGACACCTAACAGCATTCTTGAAAATATAAATTATGCTTATGGTTATGAAACAGAAGAACTGTCTTAACTGCCACATATTAGCTCTCTGACTCTGAGCAAGTTGTTTAACCTCTTTAGGCTTAAGTTTCTTAATGAGTAAAATGAGGCCTTCCGATCAGGTACTTTTTGAGAATCCTTTCAACTCTAAAATTTGAATTACTTAAAATCTATGATTAGTCCTCACTGGGTCTAAAATCCCTATATGGCCTTGAAAAAGTTCATTATAAATACTTTCTCATGATTAACCATAGTTTTTATTTATAAAATGGAGATGAAAATATTTTCTATTTATTCATATATGCTTTGTGAGACTGCTATAATTTTGATAAGTTTGAAGTTTTTAAAAGGCACTAATATCATTGAAAATGGTAATTAAAGGCAATTATTTTATTTATGGGATAAAATACAGTCCTCAATTTAAATTAAATAGAGAAACCTTATTAATATATAGGGTTGTCGCCACAAATTCTACACATAAAGAAATGGAAATTTTTGTTATGAAAGCATACTCCCATCATCAACAAAAGTACTTATGATACATCTATTTCTTGAATGATACTAATATTTTAGGGTCTTACTACGAACTTTTAGACATTATAGGACCATCATAAAAAGTTTATGAAAATAATCTAGTGCTTATATAAAAAACAAACTGCTAACAGTTAAAATAAATTTCACGTATTATTCACGTAATCTATATTCTTCAAAATAATTTTATTATTTTATATGCATATAATTTTATAATGTGCATTTCACTTAAAGATTCACTTGCTTTGATTTCCTGTAAAATATCGAGTTGATCTGCCTATAATCTATCACCATTTACTGTCTTCTGAAATGATAAATTCCATTTTCAAGTGCAGGAAATTCTTGTTATTAAAATAAATTGCCATTGTTTTTCATTGCTTTTTCTGACTACAAAGTAAATTTAATGCTCTGTTTATGTTACAACATAAATGTATTTATTTTCAGATAATTTGTTGAAAATTTGACCTCTTTTGCAAATGTTAAAGTGCCACAGGTGTAATCTTATTTATATTTTACTTCAACTATTTTATTGCTGTTTGTATCCGCAATTGAATATGGGGCATAGAAAGTAATAGGGACTGCAGAATTTCAGAACTGAAAGAAGTCTAGCACGCTACTTTCAGTGAATTCCAAATGTCCCCTGGTCTTATTCATTAACCTTGAATGACAGGGAAAAATATGATAGAACCTTGAAGCCACTGCACACCTGGGAAACTGCATATACTATTAACTGGTCTCTTTATATTGAGTTCTAACTACTGTCTCATTGTGTCCAGATTCTACAGTGGAGACAGCTAACAAAGAGAGCTCACAAGTGTAGATGCTTAGATCTACTTAAAAAATAAATTGAGTAATAACAATTTATAATTTCAGCCTTGCTACTTCATCAGAACTTCAATAGAAGAGAGCATACTCAAATTCAGTTCTAGTCACTATTGTGTTTTCTTACACTGCTGCCACGGAATAAATTGAATGGTTCCAAACTCAGTTGATCTCACCCACCCATGTAATGGAAAATTCTTTAGCCAGACAGTTGGCCAAATTGAAGCAGCTTACATTCACTAATCTGCCTTGTACTGGGGACGGTTCCACATGACAGGAGATGTTGGATGGGATTGTTAAGTCAATAAATTTTCCCCAGCAGCTTCACTGCTATAAAATATGATTTTAAAACTCTGCTACAAAATGTCAGACACTAAAGATAATTAGACTAGACAGAAATGTATTTACTGTAGCTCAAAAAGGTACAGATAGGCAGCCTTTTGAACTGACCACAACCCGAAAATTTGCCTGGAAATAGCCTCTGAGTACCAAAAGCAAAGTTTGAAACCAAATATATAATCAAGTAATTGAGACTTATTAATCAACAACTTTTACATCAAAATGGCAAAGGCCAGGAAGCATCATTCTATATTAGAAGAATTTTTTAAAAACAAAAACTTTTCAAAATGAAGCTTATGCTTTTCTGAAATTACCTTCAAATCTATTATTGTATAAATTTGTTGTCCTTTTGAGTTATTTCAAACTATCCTCACACCCATCCGAAATCTATGGATTTAATACTATAATGATTTGCTTTGAAGCATACTTCTATTGATAATTAAAGACAGAGTTGGAAAATAATTAGCAGAATTGATTGAACAAATGGGCATCCAGAAGAGATAGAGACTCAAATCAATTTGCTGATGAGAATGAAGATACTAAAGAGTCGAATCGTTTTTAGTTTATTCTGACTGCTTGTGAGTTCACAAAATATATTGATTGTTTTCTGATTATTTAATGTATCTAAATAGGTTAAGGTGATTTCCTTATTGAAGATTTTCAATTCAATATAAAAATCAATAGCTAACCTCAGTTATATAGTGTTATATAGAATATTCTCTTTCTTTGTAAATCTATTGAACTCATGAAATTAGATATGTCATTGCTTTCCTGAAGCCCTAGAGAAATGTATAAAAAAGGTTTTGGATAGAATTAAAGGGAGAATAGTGTTGTTTCATCTGATTTCCCTAGAAATATATATATTTTTATTTACGAGAAATAAGACATATATATGTATACCTTTTACATTTTATACCTTCTACATTTTACATGTATGCCTTTTACATTTTATTTTTCTCCTAATATGCTTCAATAGGAAAGAGAACATGTTTTTGTGTGAAAATGACCATTTAGAGAATTTCCTTCACATTACTTCACAGATAACATAAAGGATTAATTATAGGGAGTTTTCTTCATTGTAGCATTTTTATTCCTTCTTTTCTTCTGATTTTTCTTAGACATCTGATTTGCCTCCCACCCCTACCAAATTCTCTGTTTGCCATTCAACTTTGATGATTATGTGAGTGACTTTAATATTTCTATCTAATGAATCATTACTTTTATTCCAAGTGTGACCTTCAACTTCCCTTTCTTATGTCACCTACATATTAATATTACAGGGCAAATAACTTTGTCATATGTGAAACTGACAATACTGCCTTTTATTTTGAATTACTCTGTCTT